TACAGATTTGCCGTTGAGTAGTTTTTCGTTCAAAAAACAAAGTATGACAGAGAGTCTGCGACGTCGCAAACCAAGATACATGGTTGCGGACTTAAACACCGTCGATTTACAATATAACCAGGCAATATGGGCTTGGATCATGCACCAGTATCCGTGCTCCAATCTCTCCTCCTCCTGGAGGTTCATCCTACTTCCGGCACGTGCATAATCGCGTTTAAACTTTAATTCTGTGACCAGAATTTTTCAGTTACACCCCCAAAGAGCAATTTACTGTAAAATTAATTTAGAGTGAGTGATTACATGATAAATATCTTCGAGACCTAGGTACACTAGGTAAGGTCTTCATTAGGTCCTAGGTTAAGCAGAAATTAATTGTCTGGTGGACTTTTTTTAGATTCTGTCCGAGGCTGAAGAAAGAAAAACTAAATATAATTCCAATTTAAACGGAAAAATGCATTGCTGAAACTCGAAAGTGAAGTCAAAACGGAATTGTACATAAGAACACGAAAGTTTTCCTCTTCCTATAAGTGAGAGGCTGAAAAAAGTTAATTTGCAACAAGTTTATTTCAAGCCTAACCCCATAAACTTGATTCATCTGCTCACTTTTTCAGTGAAAGCCTGGGTTAGTCGGAGCTCGAGGAAATTGAACATCAATCGAGGCAATAACCTCCTCTTAAATGAAGTAGCTGCAGCAAGTCCTCATGCGCACACTCACGATCTGGCACTTCTCCATGTCATATTAAGAGGACGTCTTACGGAAAAGCTAGCTATTTATCAATACTACGTGGCATTGCTGCTACAATTCGAATTAACCGCCGCCGCCTTGGTCCAAGTTTTAGTGATTCCAGCCTGAATTAGTTGCTTTTAATTACAGAGGAAATTCCTAGTTCCTCAGTGTCCAAACATCATTTACAAGTTTTTTTAATGAGATGCGTTTGGAATTCCGGAAAATGCGCGCACGGCCTGTATTTTTTCTGGCTCTTGGCATCGAAGTCTTTACTACTCACCAGACGGACTAAAGCAATTTCTTCTTTTTATGGCTCGCAAAGTTCTGTGGATACAAATATTCCTTCTTGAATCTCGTCAGGTTTCATAAAAAACAGAAATCTATCAATCCAAACCTCATATCACCTTAGAATTAGTAAAAAATCTCTAGATCTCAAATTTCTACATTTAGGTTATTTTTATGTAAAACATGAGGGATAAGACGATGGGCGCACTGTAATATTGTAATCGATGTCATCTAACGCTAAAGTTTCTAATACTATATCAATTCAAAATGCAGCACTAACTGAAGTAAAACGACTTGTTTTTGGGACTGTCGCGGTCATGCATTTGGTGTTCCTGCAGATTTTTTCTTTTTCTTGAAACGGAGGTCTTATTCTCGTGAAATCACATGCATCCCTATTGGGAAAACTTGCCTAAAGAAAAAGGTTTTGGGCAAATTTTTACTTTGAAAAAGATGAAAAAGAAGGAGAATAGAAGGAATGAAGTTTTCAAGATATGGCGAGTATAGAGTGAAAGCGAAGTGACGTGGCAGGGACGAGCTTATGAGTTTATAAGGTAATCCAACACTTGATAGAAGAATGATTCTTTTCACATATACTAGCTTATTCAACATACCTTCACCATTAAAGAAAAATCACGAACCTAACCTAATCTAGTAGTGGGTGTAAAAAGTTATATTTTCTTTTATACCTCTTCCTACTCTGATAAAACATCATTGACAAATTAATGAAAAATCTTCCCGAAAACGTCACGAGGGAAAAATTCAAAAGTTTTCTCTGGCTAGTCTCAGCCTGGCACAAAAAAAGGGCATTTATTTCTAGGTTTCCGTTAATTGAATTGCATCCAGCAAAAGAGAACAAACGCATTTTGTTTTTTAGAGAAATCGAGTTAATTATCTATCTAAATAAGCTCAATCAACCTCAGCCATTCTTTTTAAAACTTTAAAGCATTTATTTTCCAAATACGATTTATTCCATCCAAAATTTTAAATCTAAAATACCGATGATACAACGATGCGTTGTTGCTGACCTCGAATTAGTTTTGTTATATTTCTTAGGTTAGCTTCACCTGACGTACGTTGCACAACAAAAATACAATTAGGTATTCGTGTTTTGCTATCGAACGTTTTGCATGGTTTGGTAACTGATGACATTTTTTTGTGAGGGGACCCTCGTGTCCACCTAACTGAAAACCAAATCCTTTGAGGGGACGGACGCCTTCGAAATTACAATGCCTTAAACTGACGAACACAATACCGCCTTCAGAGACTTAAACGCACGTTTAAGAAAAATGACTAACATTTGATGTTTACATTTCTCCTTCAATATTCATGCCAGAAAAAAAGTTAAATAGGTTGAGCTAAAATACATTTTTCATTCGGAGATTTCCTGTCTCTCAATTTTAACTTCTTTTTTATTTATTCGTTATATTTGTTTGTTTTGGGTATCCTTAAGGATGGACTTCGGATAGGTAGTCGATGATTGAACTTGGTATTTGGCTTTGAAAACTGTTGCTAAATTTCTTCTGATAAGATATGTACTCTTAATAGAAGTTATGATAATTTGTTTTACAAATATTTAGGCACTTTTGTGAGATTCAGTCCAGCGAAGAAAAGAAAAAAAACGAGAAAGGAAAAAAAAATTAAATGCTCCAGAGTATATTCGAGAGGAGAAATATGGCAACTGCCGAACATACGGCGTTTTTCTTTAGTACGTTCGTTCGGGTTCTGTCAGACAGGACTCATCTTTTACATGATAGTTAAAATATCTAAACTGCTATTTACTTTTAATATCCTTCTTTTCATGTGTTCGTAAAAGCTGTTCTTTTAATTTTCTTAATGAAAATCTATCACAAATGAAAAAGCAATCACGTCTAGCTCTTCTTCTTTGTTTTACTGAAAAAAGAAATCAAAATTAAGGGCTAACATTTCAGTTTAAGCTTATCAATGCATATGCCGATGCAATCTCTATGCCTTAAACTGACGAACACAATACCGCCTTCAGAGACTTAAACGCACGTTTAAGAAAAATGACCGTTATTTTGACGTATTTCTGCCGAACGGAACTATGTGCATTAGGACATGAGCCCTGAAACCCATAAGAATATATGCATAACAGGGCTCACGTCATAATGCAGATAGTTCCGTTTGGCAGAAATACGTCCATTTGATGTTTACATTTCCCCTCCATATTTATGCTACAAAAGTCATTAAATAGCTTTTCCCAGTTAAGTTCTGTTCTCTCAATTTTTACTTGTTTTTAATTTTTTATAATTTAACACTATTTTCATCTATTACAAATATCCGTGCAATCATAGAGGTTAGAACGCCACTATTTTGTTCGTTTGACACTTTTCAAAATGAGTCGATACGTTGCTGGTGAATTTCGCTGCTCCTATAAAGCGCGACAAAACAATCCGACAAAGTTGACCACTACATCCTCCCATAATTAGTGGACCACTAAATATCACAAGACACAGAGAGCGTATACATAGCGAGGAGAGCTCTGAAGTTTGAATAATTTTTCCAAAACCCCCTATTCCTCGGAATTTGATCAACTTATACCAACTTTTTTGTCGCGATTGCATAGAGTGAAAGATGAAAACAAATGGATTGTCCTTTTACAGTCGCATTTAGCAAGAAACATTTTTTTTCACTACCTTAATATTTTAATAATTTTGATCTTTGTGAGTTGATAGAATAATTCAACCAGGATTTCATGTATTTTGGGTTACTTATGTTATGTTTAAGGTCGTATCCTTTATCGTTCCTTCCCCCATTTCCCAAGAAGGTTTCTAATGGCTTACATTGTGTCTAGGAGAGGTTTGAGAATACCTACAGCATTATAAAAAGTAATATTTTTCCGAGCTTGGAGTAAAATTCAATATCATAATTTTAGGAATAGAAAGGAATAAAATGATTTGCCAATAAAAAAGTACAAAATTTGAGAGAATAAATTTTATGATTAAAATAAACTGTGAGGTAGGTTGACCTTACCTTAAAGTTTGTGGAATTTAAGATTATTTCCCTCCAAATTTGATATTTTTTGCAGCGGCGAATCATTTTAGCGCCTTGTAAGGATCTTTTACTTAAGTTGTGCTCCTGATTTGAACTCAAGTTCGGAAAAATATTATCTTTCATAATGCTGAATGGAAGGTTTCTTCAAAACTCCCCTAGTCACATGTAAATCACATGAGACCCCTAAAGAAAGGAGCCAAGTAAGGAATTTAGGAACGACCACGAAAACAGCCTTCAGAGTCTGTACACGGACTATCTGGACAACAATTTACAATTAGGAACTCAAATTTCTGGCTCATTTGTAAGAACACACATGGCTATGGGGAAACTAGGGGGGTACATGCGTCGATTAAACTGAGCTAAAAATTGTAATTCCTAATTGCAAAATGAAGTTCATCGGATTTTTGATTATTTGAATGTTTATAAAAAAAAAAAGAAAAAATCCTTAAAATTCCTCCCTTGTATCCCGGTTAATATCAATACATCCCATGCTTATCCGTGTCTCTCCTGTTTATGGTAGTATCGAATGACCAAACCACGTATCTCGGTTTGCGACGTCGCAGACTTCCTGTCATACTTCATTTTTTAAATGAAAAACTACTAAGCGTCCAGTCTTGAAAATTTCTGTGATTTTTCCTCTTCGTGCGGAGAAAATTCTGTGAAAATTTCAAGGAATGATACTGATTTGTTTTTCTTTACGAAAATAAAATGGGAGGAGAGATTTTTAAACACCGCAAACGAGATACGTGGTTTGGTAGTTTCACCGTCGATATAAAGATTAAACTTAAATTTCCCGTGGATTTTTAACGACGTTTTCTGATTGGTAAACGAAAGTATCAATGAGAATGCAAATTGACACGGACGTGCACACAGAAAAGGCCTTGGCTTTTTTTTAATATAGTAAGATAAGAAAAGAGAAAATCCCGGAAAATTTGGCAGTATCCACACAGAACGAAAAGAAAAATGAAAAACTTACGTTGCTGGGAGAAAAAACTAAAAAAAAAACTTGAAGAGGAAAAAAATAAACACGAAATGAGTGGACGTATCCTGGACGGCACAAACTAGGTGTTCATGATAAGGTTCGGCGAACGGAGGACGGAACTGCGGCGCGGAAAGGAAACTCGCGTCGGGAAGCGGTCGGTGACAAGTGTTGAAGAACTCGGAACTGGACTCGCGAACGGGCGAACTGGACGCAAAGGCACTCGGGACTCGGGGTTCAACTTGGTCGTCGGACCGGCTCACTTGGACTGACGGCGACGCCGCGCCGGAGCTGCTCGAAGGTCCAGGAGGACGGAGACGGCGGCCGCCTGCTCCCGAGTCGGGAACCCGGGCCCGGGACCCAGGTCGGACTCGCAACGGCTAACGGTACCCGACCACAGCACAGCAGGTTCCATCTCTGTCCATATCAACTTCTAGCCATTCTTTCAACCCTCGCGCACCATTCACCGAGAAACTATCTCATCGCTCGTATTCCGCTCACTCGAATTTCCATCCGCAGCTCACCCTAGAGTACCTATATTGAGAGAGTATGGCCACTGGTATTACCACCTCTGATTGGCTCAGCCATCTTAGGCTGAATGGAGCCCTTTGGACCCAAAAATGGCGGACGCCATGCATAAATTAATGTAATGCAAAATTACTCAAAATGTAGTTTTCTTTGCTTATCGTAACGAGAAATTTACACAAATGCACTATTGCAACTTCTTCACATATTTTTAAGGCTAATCGTGTGCAATTTTTGAGAACATTATCTTAGATGTAGTAAGGTTGGCAGCAAGTGCGGTTGGTGATAACCGTCAAAAGTTGGCAATGACCCCCCTCTCATCCACAAAAACCAAAACAAAGCACCGCCATTTTTGGGTCCTAAGCCTCTCCATGGGACCCAGTGGCCATACTTTCTCAATATAGGTACTCTAGCTTACCCTATCCACAACTCCAATGAATTACATTTTCCAATATGTTAGATACGACTTTTTCTCGGCTCGAAGGCCTATCTGCATAGGGAATATCAATATGGAAGAGGAAAGGGAAGAACAGGAAACAGAAAGAGAAGTAGAGAATGTAAAAAAGTAAAACAGTAGAGGATGAACAAAAAGAAGAAGAAGGAGAGAAAAAAGAGGAGGGGAAAAATAAGAAAACGAAGCTACAGAAGAAGAGGAATGAAAGAAAGGAGAGGAAGGAAGTAAAGAAGAAGGAAAGGAGGAGAAGAAAGAAACAATCTCATCGCTCATATTCCGCTCACTCGAATTTCCATCCGCAGCTCACCCTGTCCACAACTCCAACGAATTACATTTACCAATATACGACTTTTTTTGGCTTAAAGACCTATCTGCATAGGAAACTTCAATATGGAAGATTAAGGGGAAGAACAGGTAATTGAAAAAGTAGTGGAGAATGTAAAAAAGTGAGACAGTATAGGATGAACAAAAAGAAGATGCAGAAGAAGAAGAAGAGAGAAATATAGAAGAAAAAATAAGGAAACGAAGCTATAGAAGAAGAAGAAAGAAAGAAAGGAGAGGAAGGAAGAGAGAAACAATCTCATCGCTCATATATTCCGCTCACTCGAATTTCCATCCGCAGCTCACCCTGTCCACAACTCCAACGAATTACATTTTCCAAAATTTTAGATACGACTTCTTTTTGGCTTAAAGACCTATCTACATTCTACAATATGGAAGAGGAAGGGGGAGAACAGGTAAAGAAAAAGTAGTAGAGAATGTAAAAAAATGAAATTGAAGAGGATGAACAAAAAGAAGGAGAAGGAGCGAAAAAAAGAAGAGAGGAAAAAATAGAAGGGAAAATAAGGGAAGGAAGCTATAGAAGAGGAAAGAAAGAAAGGAGAGGAAGGAAGTAAAGAAGAAGGAAAGGAGGAGAAGAAAGAAACAATCTCATCGCTCATATTCCGCTCACTCGAATTTCCATCCGCAGCTCACCCTGTCCACAACTCCAATGAATTACATTTTCCAAAATTTTAGATACGACTTCTTTTTGGCTTAAAGACCTAGCTACAATATGGAAGAGGAAGGGGAAGAACAGGTAAAGAAAAAGTAGTAGAGAATGTAAAAAAGTGAAATTGAAGAGGATGAACAAAAAGAAGAAGAAGGAGCGAAAAAAAGAAGAGAGGAAAAAATAGAAGGGAAAATAAGGGAACGAAGCTATAGAAGAGGAAAGAAAGAAAGGAGAGGAAGGAAGTAAAGAAGAAGGAAAGGAGGAGAAGAAAGAAACAATCTCATCGCTCATATTCCGCTCACTCGAATTTCCATCCGCAGCTCACCCTGTCCACAACTCCAATGAATTACATTTTCCAAAATTTTAGATACGACTTCTTTTTGGCTTAAAGACCTATCTACAATATGGAAGAGAAAGGGGAAAAGAGAAAGTAGGAGAGAATGTAAGAAAGTGAAATTGAAGAGAATGAACAAAAAGAAGAAGAAGGAGCGAAAAAAAGAAGAGAGGAAAAAATAGAATGGAAAATAAGGGAACGAAGCTATAGAGGAGGAAAGAAAGAAAGGAGAAGAAGAAAGTAAAGAAGAAGAAAAAGAGAAGAAGAAAGAAACAATCTCATCGCTCATATTCCGCTCACTCGAATTTCCATCCGCAGCTTACCCTATATCCACAACTCCAATGGAGAATTTGCAGGTGTCTGAAATTTTGTGAATCCCACCTTTAAAGTGATACTACTAAGAAAACTCAGTACGAGGATATCCTCGGTTTCTAAATTGAATAATTATCGGGGGAACTATGACGAAATAACCTAATCTACTAAATACATGTGTTTACATGGAAAATGCCGCCAGATGACGTCGTAAGGCGGCAAATTTTCTCACCTTTAAATCTATTTTTCTCCGATTTCCAAAGTCAGAAAAAAATTATGAAAAATACTGCGGACTCAGCTCATTAAGCACTCTCGGATGAAGCAATAAAATTGCATGTGTGTGCAAATTCTCCATTAATTACATTTTCCAATAAGTTGGAGACGACTTTTTTTTGGCTCAAAGACATATCTGCATAGGGAACATCAATATGAAAGAGGAAGGGGAAGAACACGAAGCAGGAAGAGAAGTAGAGAATGTAAAAAAGTGAAACAGTACAGGATGAACAAAAAGAAGAAGGAGAGGAAAAAGAGGAGAGGAAAAAATAGAAGGAAAAATAAGGAAACGAAGCTATAGAAGAAGGGGAAAGAAAGAAAGGAGAGGAAAGGAAGTAAAGAAGGGAAAAAGGAGAAGAAGAAAGAAACAATCTCATCGCTTATATTCCGGTCATTAAAAGTTCCATCCGCAGCTCTTCCTATCGACCGTTCGAATGGAATTTATTTTCCCATAAGGTTAGGACGACTATTTTTTTGGCTCGTCCATAAAAAGATCTATCTACATCCAAATGGGAGAGGAGGAGCAAGAACAGGAGGCACGAAAAGGAGAAGATAAAGTGAAAAAAGAGAAACGGAAGAAGGAGAACACGAAGAAAAAGAAGAAGAAGAAGAGAAAGATACAAAAGACGAGAAGAAAAACGAGGAGGAAAAATGCGGAAACGAAGATAGAGAAGAGTAGGAAGAAGAGAGATGAGAAGAAGGAAGAAAAGAAGAAAAAGAGGTGTAAGGAATAAGCAAAAAAGAGAATAACAAGAAATTAGAAGGAGAGGAGGAGAAGAGATACCAAAAGATGAAGAGGGAGGAGGAGAAGGAAAATAAGTAGCGGCACCACTTCGTGAGCGTGGTTACATTAATAGCACATACGTTGTTCGGGCCTAATCTGAACCTCCGAAGACCCGGATATTTCCGAATTTTTCAGTGCTTCAGCCCTGAGTCCATTTGAACTTTTCGCAGTTTTACTTCTCTCCTGGTCAAAAATCGTACCAAATTAATCTCTTTTTTGCAGACATAAAAGATGATAGAGGCTGCACAGTTTCAGCAGCATTCTAAAACTAGAAGTGTCTTATTGTATAGTGCAATCCAGTGATTGTATTCCGTTTATTCTTTTATAGCCTGCCATTATCTGTCTTATACCCGTCTGTGAATTTAGAAATAAAACACCCATGAATATTTAAAACCTTAAAACACTTCTGTCACCATTCATTTGACTGTATAGGAAAACCAACCATTTAGAACTCGCGACATTTTGCACGAAACTTCACCTGCGGTACCTAATAATAGGGATAAAAATATTAATGCAAAGTTGACAGTCTTCATTTTCATTCCTACATAATGGAGGAAACGGAGGCCTTGAATCATACCGCGTAGAAATTGAGAAGTAAGAGTTCATTTAGTTTCACCATCAATGTAGGAATTAATTTTACAACAAAACTTGTGAGATTGCTTCTTTCTCTTTTTTGAATTCTTTCTGTAGATAAGCTGCGCACGTACATTTTGTGTATCTGTGGCATATTTCCGCAGCGACAAGTGATGTTTAACTTTACGGCGAGGACGAATGCTATACTCTCGATGACTTTCCATTTAGGTTGAAGGGTTCCGGTCTAGTTTTGTTGACTCATCACCTCCTTTCACTCCTACCTCATGTACCACAGGAGAGCCAGACTTGATAATATGTGCATGGGTATTCTTGTAACGGATTCAACATTCTAATTGGAAATCATCACTGGCCTTGAAGATGGGGAAGTGTGTTTGTCATGGAATTAAAAAAAGTTTGTACTGGTTACTGATGAAGGTTTCTTTGTTACGAGATTTTTAACTTGACAATGAGGAATGGTCCTGTATGAACTCTACTGTGCGTGGTCTTGAAGTTCCATGATTAATTTAATTTTCATTTAATTCTTTTTTTCGTGATTTGTGTAGTTTGCGGCTGTCAGTTTTAGCACAAAAAGTGGCGTCTGTAGTTTTTTCTTGAATTTTCTGAAATTCTAAGTGCATATTAGCTCGAAAAATTTAAATCTATACTATGGTACGCATTTTCGCAGGAAATTCAAATCTGAACCAAGTTCTGATTACATGGGCATTACTCTCAAATTCGTCGTTTAAACAGTTCTGTTTCGAAAAGAGTTTCTTTTGATCAGGTAAACTTGTATACTTCTTGTTTGACACCTCCGAGTATTTTGAATGAATACCGTAATTGTTATATATTTGTATACTTGCAACAACCGAGCCATGTCATTTTCAAATTGCAGGTAAGTATCGTTTTAGATAATACTAGAGGCCTGTGGCCGCTACTGCTATGCGGCCGCCAACCACTGAGGAAAGCTACACGTAAAAAATAGTAGAACAATCACGTTCAAGTTATTTAAGAGATGAATGGTCAAA